CGAACGAAATTTCAACCAATCAGAGCGGCGCGACTCTGTGACGTCATATGAGGAATAGCTTTGAGGGCCGATGCAGAATTCATCTACATTTTAGGGGGTAAATTATCTTGTTTACAGGCTTGTATAAACCTGAAACCGTGACAATTGTTGTGGAAAATGAAAGCTATATGTTCTCACAATCTACTGTCATTTAATTTTGTCTCCTGCTTTGCCTAGTTTCGAGTTACAACTTGTTTTCATAGGCGCTTCTGTCACAATTGATTGGTGTCGTTAGGCCCTATTTGTATAATGACTGATCCAAATTGATCCCATTTCTGTGTTTTTTACCTCGATATTTAATCATGTCATGTAAAAATCTGTTTGTATTCTCAAAACAGTGTCGGCCCATAAGTTTTCACATGCAATACAGCAATTAATACTCCTTGTTGTAACCCGTGTTAGGTGGTATAAACCTACACATGTTATTTGTCATCATTCACTTGATGGTCAGTTAATGAATTTATAACAGGTATAATTAGTGGTAACACACTTAGATTACCGACAAAGGTTCCCATTTGGCATTTCTTGTGTCTGGAGTAAATATTCAACATTATGAACATCGATCAAAGGATTAACCGATAACACGCTGATTGATTAATTACTTTTATCTTACACAGCGGAATTGTCAAAGGTAGTGTTTATGTATGTAGATTTACTAATCTATACTGAATACACTCTGCCGTGTCGGTGTCTGCGTAAAAACAACGTCCTTCTTTCAAAGGATTAACCGGCAATACATTGATTGATTGCCCATTATTGGCTAACTAAATTACTGTTTTTTAATGAAAGGCGGACATTATGCAATTAGTTGCCAGGTGTGCTATCTTGGGTGACCAATGAGACTATACACCAATACCTGAAAAGATTTATCACTTTTTTAGTATATTAAACTGTTAAAAGACACATCATTTGGAACAATTTTGTGGATATTGATGGATACATTCCTCAAACAAGGTAATGGCCTGATATTGTTCCTATAACTTTAATCTGTTTTAATTTTAATATTTGCATTTTGTTTTTAATCATTTGTCGTAGCATTCAACAGAATCATTGTTTTCGCCGTGAAGTGTAATGAGACAGACAACATACACTAGGTGTGTTAATGCGAATTATGATTCACATTGGCAAACTATAAAATGTCTAGATATTACAGTTCTGTTATAAATTCACTATAAGTATCAGCAGATCGTCAGCTTTTTATTTAGTTTCAAAATGCATAAAAGTATGATAATAAACTAATTAGGATTATAAGACCAAATATAAAGGCGCACATTGACTAGTATCTACATACTGGTGAGTGGACATTAACCATGTGAATGTAGCAAGAAATTTATCGCGCAGTATTGTGACCGACCCCCACCTGGCTTCCGTGGAAGAAATCGTTATGTTATAAGTTGTGTCATGCAAAACCCTTTTGGTTATGATTCCAATACATATTTAACTTCTGAGTAGAAAGTAGTTTTGATTTTCTAACTTGATGAAAACAAACTATAATCTCATTAATTCTAACAGACTTTCACGATTTTCAAAAAATGGTAGCCCCTGTGGGAACATCCGCCAGTCTGTGGATAAATGCTATTTAGGTTTGTTTTCACCGAGTTACAAAATCAAAACTACTTTCTACTGGTAGTAAAATATGTATTTTATTGATGGCCAATAGGATTTTGCATGACATAGCGTATAACATGACAATTTCTCCCTGGCAGCGAGGTGGGTGTCAATATAATACTACTTACAATATTATTGTTGCCGACCACAACCTCACTTCCGAGGAAGAAATCGTTATGTTACAAGTTGTGTTATGGAAAATCTTTATGGTCATCAATCATATACATATTTTACTATAACTAGTAAGTAGTTTTGATTCTTTAACTTCCGTGAAGCGATCTGAACACAAGTAAGATATCGTTTCAGGCTTCCCTAGCGCTTAAACCGCACTCACAAACATAACCCATTTAGCTTACGAACTGCGGGATCCTGTGGAAATCTGTGCATGGTGACACCATCACCCGACCCTAGGAGCAATTGGCGACAAAGCAGCGATTCGGCATGTCGTCGTTCATGTCGAGAAATCATCAAAATGATGGCGTGCTACACATTTTCTATACAACTAACTGAAAATCGTTCCTCATATGACGTCACTGCAGTGCTCTGGCGACAGAGTTACGTAACCTGTCTGTGGTTTCGTTGGCGGGCGAGAGGGAAGCAGGCGACTTTTTGGCCACTTTTAATCGCTCGGTATTAATTAACCACAAGTTTTTAAAGAATAAATTTGGTGTTCCGCATAAGACTAACCACAAATCTTTCATATGTAATGGTTAAAAGAGTAACAAAAAAGTTTAGTGGTTCTTTAACAATCTCAAAAACCAAACAAAATACATGAAAAAACAGACACACCCAAATGACGCAGATAACAAACTCATTTTGTGTTCCAGCCACTTACAGTATGTTTTAGCCAAAATGTTAACTACAGTTATAACAAAATAACATTTGTGGTCCCTTATGCTCTCATTACAAATGGAGTTTACTGTACAACATTTTATTTATATGACAAGTCATGTTCATTTCTCAACCAGCACATAAGTTTAAGGTATTTCACATGTGTTAAGTCACATTGGTTGAGACGTTGTCTTCACACAACTGGTGGATTTTGCCTTGCAAGTATTTTTCTGTTCACCTGAGGGCTTCATTTAGTGGTTTAGTCATCTGTCATAATGTCAGTTGTACTCATAAATAATTTTTGTCATAATGAGGTAAATGACATGTAGGTGTTTGGACTATGTACAGGAAAGTGTGTGTGTGTGTGTGTGTGTGTGTGTGTGTGTGTGTGTGTGTGTGTGTGTGTGTGTGTGTGTGTGTGTGTGTGTGTGTGTGTGTGTGTGTGTGTGTGTGTGTGTGTGTGTGTGTGTGTGTGTGTGTGTGTGATATTCATGCCTCTTTCTTCTTGTTCAGTTTTCTTGTTCAATCTTAAGCAAAAGCGAACTCAAATAAATCAAATGTATATAAATATATCAATCAGCATGACATTATTATATGACATGATTAAATATTAAGCTATAAAACACATAAATCAGATCCAAATATATCTCAGATCTCATAAAAAAATTGAAAATGCTTGCACTGCTTGACATATTTTTGCTATTTAACTATACCATCAGACCCCTGAAGAGCCGGGTTAGAATTGGTCTTCAGCAACCCATGCTTGTCATAAGTGGCGACTAACAGGATTGGGTGGTCAGGCTCACTGACTTGGTTGACACATATCGACATACTCCAACGGCATAACTCGACGTTCATGCTGTTGATCACTGGATTTTCTGCTCCAGATTTGATTCTTTACCGGCTGCTACCATATTTGGAATATTGCTTAGTGCAGCATTAAACAACAAACAAACAAGTGAAACCAGTGATCAGCTTCCACCTTTCTTTTTTGTCTGTTTGCTTGAAATAGGTTGAAGAAGTATATTTAATACACACCCTATGGTATATAAAAACCTTCAAAGGTCACAGACAACCAATCAATGTTCTGAAATATTTATACAGTCGCCAGGTTATGTCTGCTGTCCTTGCAGCAGCCTTGTCTCTTGTCAGTTCATTTGTGTCAGCCAGAAAACCCGTCAAGGTCCGGGTTAGAATAAGCCTTCAGTAACCCATGCTCGTCGTAAGAGGCGACTAATGGGATTGGGTGGTCAGGTTCGCTGGCTTGGTTGACACATGTCATCGGTTCCCAATTGCGTAGATCGATGCTCATGTTGTTGATCACTGGATTGTCTGGTCCAGACTCGATTATTTACAGACTGCCGCCATATAGCTGGAATATTGCTGAGTGTGGCGTAAAACTAAACTCACTCACTGTTAGCCCGAAAGTAGTCTCACAGCAGGTAACGAATTAAAGTTGTTGTTTATGTTAACGATAAAAAGACACATATTAAACAAACTAACTCCTATGAATATTAGAAAAGAAAAGCTCCTCAGCAATCTAGACTTGTCCTTGGAGCTGACGATTTAGATTAGCACTTCAGGTTCAGTGAAGGGTAAATCCGTGAAGATCCGGGTTAGAATTGATCTTCAGCAACCCATGCTTGTCGTAAGAGGACAGGACCAGGTGGTCAGGCTCGCTGACTTGGTTGACACATGTCATCGTATCCCAGTTGCGTAGATCGATGTTCATGCTGTTGATTCCTGGATTGTCTGGTCGAGACTCAATTATTTACAGACTGCAGCCATATAGCTGGAAGATTGCTGAGTGCAGTGAAAAACTCACTCACCACAGTAAAGTGTAGGGTAAGTTCAACCAAGGTTAAGGATTTTAGTAGTGCTTCAAATACATCAACACCTGACCTCACAAAACATCCATAAAATCGTAACAATATGTCACATGAACACAAGTGTACAATAGATATACCAACCAGGGAAAGACTATAACTGACTTGACTTTATTCGTATACATATTGGGTAATTGTTAGTTCTTTTTTTTTATCTATGAACAAGATTTCTTTTAAAAATAGGGGGATAAAATTCGAGATCTGACTCCTTCAACCTGGAGAAAGCTTTCAAATCCTACTTATTTCTTTCTCCGAAGTTTATATCAATTTTCATGTAATGATAAATTAGTTCTATAAATATCCAGGGCATATTTTGCCCTTCTTTTCCATTTCGCTTTCCCTTCGTGACACCAGGATGGAAGGCATGGTGAATCAAGTATATTTTAGTGCCAGACTCTTACAGTCAACAGGCGCCAACAAACGTCAGTGACTTGCATGTAACCAATGGTTACACACCGTCCCCATATTGGCAGCGAAAACCGATCAATGTCAATCAATGAGATATCGGGATTTAAAAATAAAAATGTTCTAGATCTAATCTAACGCCAGTGAAGTTTGCCTTGTAGCATATCTATTATGCAATACACCATACCCAATGGAATACAAAGCTAACTAAACAAGCAATAAATGTCTTACCAGGAGATGATGAGAATGGAATGACAGTGCTTATGAAATCCTCAGCATCCTACCCGTCAATCGGCACGTTTCTCAACATCAGAGGTCATTTGTTTGCATAAGATTAGAGTTAGCTCCCTTATACCAATTCTTATACCGCATATCAGCCCTGACAATGCAACGCCGCAGAAAGTTTATACAGGTCTACAATAGCTATTTCTTTGCCGTGTTTTAATTTTCCGTTTGTTATTTCCGACTTACACACGGACAGAATATATTTGGCACCGGCCAACCCATTACGGAAATGACGTTCCGGTTCACTGACCTCTTGAAATATTGACCTTATTGACCTATAACCTTTGACCTTCAGTCCATAATGAATTTGTCTTCTGTGACGTCCAAACGTGTAATTCAGCAGTCTTTATTCATATTTCTTTAATTTCAATCATTGTCTTTGACAAAAACAGAAAGGAAAACCTATGTTTTAGTTATTTATGTGCGTCAGAAATCCAACCACGGATTTCCCCTTTCACAAACTTTTCTTCCACTTGATTGGCTGTTACGGTAAGAAAACCTCTTCCCTCTGTACTGATGTGGGAAAATTATTGTCGCTATATTAATGTGTTTTCATTACTATATGCCAATATTTCGAGAATGGGATGTTCCACAAATATCGTTGACATTGATACATTAAAAGAAACACCTTAATATTTGACCAAGTTTAATAAACAAGACCACAGAAAAGTTTAGGAATTTGTAAAGGACCTCACTTCCGGTAGCCTTTCCGTTTACCTCCCGCCAAGAATGGTGTGAGGTCTGTGTTGACATCTCCTGTAAGTATTCAACAATGCGTGATCTTTAGACATTGTATAACTAAACAACATGAGGCTTAGGTGCAAAATCGTATCTTATCTTGTTTACTAGTTTTAAGGTCTTCATAGATAATACGTTTGTAGGGTTTTTGTCTCCACGGGGTACTTTTTACAGAAGTTGCAAACTTGCTACTTTCAGGGGCCTAGTTTCCCAGTCAGGCCCAGTGTACCCATGAGTCTGTCTGCGAACGCACTCGGCACTTTTCAAAAGTGCTTCTGTAGGAATACTTCGACAGACGACTTTATTTTCTCATTTCCTTATCTTGCAGGTGAAATCTAGTCGGATACGATGGTTGGGATTTAAAGACAACCCCAACCCGGCTATAGAAGACACACATCCCAGTGAATCACAGGATACGTTTCTATATATATATGGATGGACGACTGTTAGTGTGACATACTTCTATATTCTGCCAGCATGGAGTTTTCTCTTTTATACGTCACACTATGCTGTATAATTGTAAAAGGTAAGTTTTTGTAATAACTAAAGGATTTTTTGCAACTTTGACTTGACATATATCCACTTGTTGCCAGCAGCTTACTTTATGAGCTAAATGACCCAGTTCTCAGAAGGCTCAACTTCCATTCATTGAAAACTACTTAGGAATAAGTCTTCTGCCTTTCTTTAAATATGAAGATTTTGATAAATGTCTTTATTTATCAAATTATATTTCTATTTGATTTTCTTCGGTGATTGTGCAGAATGAATATTTGATTTTCTCTGGTGATTGTGCAGAATGAATATGGACAGATTCATTAACTATGTCGGTTCAGAAATTGTTACAAGTGTAAATAATTGGTTAACCAGATTTCACTGACCACATGCAGGCTGACCTTTGTCCAGTGGCCAGCAAAGCTATAGAAGGTGGCTGTTGGGTGTTGGTTACCATCTTTGGTGTAATTTACAAGTGGGCCAGTCTTATGTCTAGAATTCCCTTGGTCTAATTTACAACTAGGGCGCTTATCTGTGTGCGATCTGACAGCTAGCTGCTGATGCCAGAACCCTGGTTGGTTCCTGGTACACATTGGGTTCTCTGTCTCCAGCAGAGCTGATAAGAATTAACATCATCAGCATTCTGTGAGGCTTCCAATAGATGATGCCTGAGAATTGTAACTAATATGACATTTGGGATAACACTTTCTGCTACAAATTCTGGTAGATTGAGGACTCAATCGTAAAAGCACTAGAATTTGTACTTTACTAAGAAAGTTTATTGAAAATCAAACATTTGTAACATTTGACCACTTTCTTAAAGGCATTGTGTATTTAATTTAATTGTGGGATGAGTTACTTGTTTGTTACAATATAAATAGTTCTATTTAAGAAACAATGGAAAATATAACTTCCAAATAAGAACATTAAAAATCCCTATTATGAACAAAATATGTATTTTTCTGAATGTGCCTGCCAAATACACTTCATCTGGATTCCTTGAAAAATGCCTTGTTTTTGATGGAGTTAAAGTAACGTTTTAATCTCAATGGCAGTATTTGTGAATGAGGCAGTTGCATTCTATCTAGCCAGTAGTAATAACAGAGGATTTTCATGAAATGCATTCTTTATTACTCCACCCAACAGTTGTTGTCAACATTTGTCCATAATTTCAACATTTTAAAAATATTGTTGCACTATTAGTCAAGTTTTAGTGTGATATCCGCTCCTTTTAAACAAAAGAAATGGAAACCTTTCAGATTTGTTTGTGAGGAGTCTGAATGGTAGCTGGGTCAATTTAACCTGATGCAGTTTGTACGCATGGGTACATCCTGTGCACAGAGAATTGTGAAGTGTTTCAATAAGTTGACAGACTTTCCTCACCACCCTTACTCCACCCCAGTAGCCCCTTCCCCTCAAAACCCCTCCCTCAAACCACCCCTCCACCCCCACCCCAACGTTTCATCATCACATTTCCACAAACATTGACGACTCAGCGGAACACAACAGCTTCTGAAGCATGTCAATTGGGAAAACAAGGATGGGACAGAATGTCCTCTTTGAAAGATTAATCATATCCAATAATTGCTGTCATTTCATGTTCATTGTGCTGTACTCTACATGTCAGCGGCTATTCACACTGAAACTACTCTGTACTCATTTGTGCAGTTGACGATGTCATGAATGGGTGTGGGAGTTTCACACACATCCATTACATGTGGTATGATATTTGTACCTGGTGACATTATCACACCACACTGTAATGGACTGAAATACTGGCTCGTCTGGTGGTCCGACATGGTCTGATGGCTGGCGAGACACTGTGTTTTGTCCCCGTCTCATTCTGTATTCGGAAGCCTATTGAAGAGTGTTTGAACAACACTTCCCTTTCCTGGAAGCTGAAAAATTATGAATTTATGCCTTCTTGTCAAAAACGTGTGAATTAAGCTAAATATTGTCAGATGATGTTGAATTGTTTTTCCAATGTCCTTGATGTTAAATATGACTTAAAATATGCAGTTCTACCTATCAAAAGTTCTTGTGATGTTAAAGCATTATGACTGTTGAATCTGTGTCAGGGATGTTAAGTTCATTTGGGGATTAAGAGAAAGCAAGACTGGTTTTTATATGTCCAGAGTAAAGGTTCACTGATTGTGTTGGTGTGCAACACTTAAGATGGATGATTGTCCCTCATCCACACACCAAGAGAATAGATTTAAAACAGAGTCCAACTCAAGTCTAGACTGCCTCAGCTTTTGTCGAAGTTATTCATTAATCTGGGCTCCTTCTGGGCTTTATTTTGTAAATATTTATTATAAAATAAGATAACTTTCTGGGACTAAAGGTTTTCTAACAGGAACTGAATAGTGATCACTGAAGATCTTGTCTAGCCAATGCAGTTGTAGAACATGAAACCTTTCTAATGATTATTGCTTGCACCATATGCACACAAAGTGTCACAAAATAATCTGATAGATTCAAACTGTTACATTCCTGTGATCATTAACAGAGTAGACCTGGTGTTGTACATGTAATACCAGTCATGAAAACTGTTACAATGTCCACATAGCTCTCATGTATAACTGTGTTATACTATACAACAATATCTGCATATCTTCCCATGTATCAGTTTTCAAGATTACTTTTGAGTTTAAGAAAGTGATTACCATGACTACCGATAACCAATTTGCAAGTGAACATTGTCCCACAGTTTCTGATAACTATGATGTACTATACAGCTATATCTGCCTTATCTTCCCTTGCATAAGGTTTCTAGATTTGTTCGATAAGACTTTAAGAAAGTGATTACCATGGTTACCAATTACAAACTGAACATCGTGCAGCAGTTTATGTGACATCAACGTCTTGATAATGAAGTTAATCAAATCTACTTGAGGTACCTGAGACATCTGGGATGTGGGTGTCTGTACATTAAGATTAAGCTGACACCATAATGGGATTATAGGCGGGGTAAAGTAGCTGGGAGCCTGACCGTGCAAGGATGAGGAGATGTAAGTAGCCATTGTTTCAAGCAGCTGAATCTTTAAGTGATATTCTGTTGGTTTATAGGGAATAAAGTTCAACAACAAAGGAAGATGGCTGATCTTGTGACTCTTTGCATTCTCTGCCTGATGATACCAAGTAATCAGGGACCCTATCCACAAAGCATTAGCAGCTCTATGTCATTTGTTAGCCAATGATATACAGGGCTCCAGATAACTTTTCAAGATCAGGAGTACATACTCCTTTTTTTTTCAATATAGGAGTACTGGAAACTTACATTTAGAGTGCTGAATGGGATTTCATGGAGTATCAGTAATCCTGTGTTTCGTTTCATATATGCACCACAACATTGTTAGTCTTGTGTAAACAGGTCAATATACAATAAAACAATACTTTTTCAGATAAATACGTCTGTAAATGATTCTAATACCGTCCAGACTCGATTATTTACAGACTGCTGTCCTATAGCTTCAATTTTGCTGAGTTTTGCGTGAAACAACAAACTAACCAACCAATCCAGATTAATCTCAAAACTTTCTCATTTGTAGTATACCCCACAATATCCCTGTGTTCTCTGTAACTTGCCTAAGTCTCAACCACAGACCAGATGCTTGTTTCTGTTATAAATAATATGCCAGATACACGAGGCACAAAACTTAAAAGACACAGTTCGGTGCCTAATCGTGTTCCAGTGGAGTGGTCACTAGACAAATGTGAAGTTATCAATGCTTACTGAACATACCGGTTGTGTTTGAAGTATTGTGTGATTTGTTTGAAGCAGTTATGGAGGTGATAACAGGCACAATATGACTTATGTAAATTTTATTCTCGTCCACCAGTCCATGAAGCACATGGTCCTTACACTCATCAAGCCTTCAGACTGATGTGAGTGTTAATGGGTCAAATGATCCATTCATTATTCATGGAACCGATAGCCCGGTACCGAAATAAACAAAAAAACATCCATATGGTTAAGAATGAAGTCACGAAGTTGACTTTTTAAAGGGTCAGTGACCAGCGGCCGTGGATATCCGAAGCACTGACTCGTACCTGGTGATTCTTTCTCTGTAACAATGGTTGCAATGTATAATCATTAAATTATTTTTAGTAAGTTCAAGATTGTGTAGTTACTGTATTCATGGCAGGTGGGATAACCTCGTGGTTCACTTGTAAGGCCGAAAATTCGGATTCGATTCCCCACATGGGTTTAATGTGCCAAGCCCATTTCTGGTGTCCCAGCTGCGATGTTGCTGGAATATTGCTAACAGAGGTGTAAAACTAAACTAACTCACTATTGTATTTCTTTCAATTATGGACTAAGTAGGCATAAGATAAAGGATGAATAACTGCTGTATTACTTCTTTGAGAGCCATTTAAAAGTTGGATCAGGAAGGAAAGATAACAATATATGGATAAATGATTCTTTATTATTACATCCATATATTTTTATCCTTCCTTCCTTGCTTTTTATAGGGACTATGGGGTAGGGCTAGTTATTAAAGTGTTCATTCGTCATACCGAAGGCCCGGGTTCAATTCCCTACTTGGGTAGAATGTGTGAACCTATATCTGGTGTCCCCAGCTGTGATATTGCTGGAATATTGTTAAAAGTGGCGTAAAACTAAACTCACTCCTTGCTTTATTACTGTTAGGGGGGTGGTGGGGTGGCCTAGTGGTTAAGGCGTTCACTCGTCATGCCAAAGATCTGGGTTCACTTCTCCAGTTGGGTACAATGTGTGAAGCCTATTTCTGGTGTCTCCCACTGTGATATTGCTGGAATATTGCAAAAGCGACGTAAAACTTAACTCACTCCTTGCTTTATTACTCAGGGGTGGAAATAACCCATTGCCCGACATCAGAGTCCAGTTTTTTTGTCTGTCGGGCAAGCAAATTTGTATTTCACACTGTACCGGTGACCAGTTGACTTTCCAATGTTCATTATGTTGTTTATTTAAAAAAATCAGCAAGAAAACGGTCGGTATAGTGGAAAAATTATCAGGGCAAGTGACTTTACATGTGCCACTGTACCGGA